CAGAACCAAATGTAAAAGGTTATGAAAAGTTTGAAGTATTTCAATAATTGGAAAATAGTCTCCCTAATGGTGAGTGGTTTGAATTTTCCTGGAGCATTTTTGTACTTTTATTTTTGTAAGAAATGGGTTCTGGAAGCTAGTCAAGTAGTACATGAATATAAGAATCCAAGACATATTGAAACAATTTTAAAGCCTGTGTTCTATAAATGTAGGGTTTAAAAGAATGTGTTAAATGGGAGTGGTTTTAAGAAATGTTTTAAGAGATTTAAATAAATAAATAAATAAAAAACCAACAAAAAACTGAACCCCCAGAATGACTGGCAGAGAGAAAATAGTATACATTAGGAAACATTGCAAAATAATAGGACAATCCTAAGAAAAAGACTCTGCACTTGCAAAATAACTTTAAAAGCTCTCAGTAGTGTATTACAAATATTAAATAAGTAAATCTTGCAGTGTGCCAGAAGAGTTCTCAGATGCACTAGCATGGCTCCTGCAGTGGCTGTACTTAAGGAAGAACTGCTTGGAGGAGTTTGGCCCAGCAAGTGCCACATGGGTCTTGTGAGGGGTGACCTCTGCCTGTGTCTGTGTCAGGGTCTGCAGTGGAAACCCAGAGATGTCCATGGCTCCCAGAGCTATGATGCAGGGCAGTCAGCTAATTCATTTATCTGCTCCTTCAGCAAGATGGTTCCAAGACCACTGCTAAACAAAGCTGCCTCTGCATCTCTTCAGCCCACCCCAGCACAATTGGAGCAGATTTTAAAAGCAAAACCCAGCTTGCTGTTGCTTTGGATCTCATTAATTCATGCTGTGGTGTTCAACCTGAGGGTGAGCTGGGGGTACAGCATGTGTGCCCCCACAGCGTCCTTCCAGCTGTCCCTTCCTTCTCCAGGAGTTTGGGAAGAGGTGGTAGGCTACAGTACTCTGACCTCCCTCCTTGCTAAATGGTTTTGTGCTTGGAGAGGGGTGATGCTGGCTTGAGACAAGGGTGGGCTGTGTCAGGTGTTCACCTTTCCCTCTTCCAAAGGTGCAGATATCCTGTGCATGTAACTGAGCCTCAGACAAACCAGAGCAAGCCCTGGTTGTGCTGGGGGTCTGCCCAGCACAGAACTTTTGCAATTGCAAAATAACTTTTAAAGTTATTTTGCAAGTGCAGAGTGGGTCTGGCAGAGCTGGGCAAGGGCTGAGGCATCGTCCCTCTGTGCCACTGAAACGTGTGTGCCTACCCAGACACTGCCAAGCTGTGTTCTGGGGCTCACAGGGGTGATTCAGGGAAAGCAGGAAGAGTAGTGTTGTGGGAGAAGTTCAACTATTAATTAGTTTCTGCAGGTAACCTGCCTTACATTTTCCTGTTCCTAAAATGTGCTTTTTGTAACCTGTGGATATACTGCAGGAGCTGTCCTGGGTCAGTTCTTTTTAACACTCTGAAATACACCTCTTCGTTACCTCTGCCAGGAAACTGTTACTGCATCTGGACAAATAAAACTTGGTTTTTCTCAGCATCTCATTATCTATGCCAGAATTTCTTTCACATAGTTATTGCCCTCATTTAGTAACATCTATAGAGATGCCATGTGTTTTCTACAGTGTGAATGTGCTTTCCACAGTATGAATTAATACACTGATTCAAGTGGCATTAAATGGAAAGCAGTTTTGAACAGCTGGATGCATTTGAAAATAACTGTGAGAAAAACAATTCTGTATAAATTGCTGAGAGGATCTCACTGGTGATTAAGGGAAGCCTTTCCATGGCACAGTGGGTGCCAGAGACTGAGCCTGGGACAGGGGCTGTTGCACCACTGTACAGGTGTCCCTAATGGTCTGCTGCTGTTGCAGGTTGGTGTGTGAATGATGGCTTTGCCCAGCTCCACAGCTTAGATCTGTTCCAGGAGCCACTATGTCTCTCCTTTGTCCTTTTTGTGCTGATCAGGGTCCAGAAGTATTGCTTCATTTCATCTCCAGAAGTATTGCTCAATCTTCTGGTTCCAATGATGCAACAGAAATGGGCTGAATGCTGTTGAATGGTTAACTTTTGTCCACTAATCATTAGTCCCAACTTTAGAAGAATTTGCAGAGGAGTTACAGATCTTGCCAAATCTCAAATAGAAAGCAGTTGTTCTTCCTCCCAAGCATAGAGTAAGTCAGAAATCATACTTTTACCTTGCAGGTATAAACCAGTGCTTGGGAAGGGTTCCAGAACCAAAGTCAGGTGCTGTAGCTGATTGCTTCAGCCAGCATCTGGCTGCCCTGCGCAGAGGGAGGACAGAGGGTGTCAAAAGGCAGCCCAAATCCATGTCAGATATTGCAGGTTCTAACTACTATGAAATCCACCTGGGCATTGAGTCCATGCTAAATTTAATCATCTTTGTGGTACTAGATACAGGAATTGCTTGGTCAAAATCAATGATGTTTTATTGCCTTTAGTTGGAGTAGCAAAGTGTTTCTCTTCCTTTGCAACCCGGTGTTCTGAATATTGAAATAACTTTTTTTGTGGTTTCCTGTTTGACTGCTTACGTGGATTGACTGTGTGTGGGCTGGGGGAGGCTGTGTTACTGTGAGGTTTTGACAGAAATTCCTTGTGCTCAGAGAGCAGCAGCATGAGGGCAGAGTGTGAGTGGGGTTTTCTTCCTGTTGGATGACAGTAGGTTTTCCACTGCTTCTTAACCATGTAAGATTGCCCTCAACATTTTGTAAAAAGTAGGACTAGGATAACTTTATGTTCTGTATTGGCTACTCCATGACTGGAGTACTGAAGCCAATTTTAAATATGATATGGATGTTGCCAGGAATAGAAACCTCTCCTAGGAAATGAATGCCACTTCTCATCAGGGTCTATCCAGTAAAGGCACCGTGAGTTTTTGTTTCACAATAGCATAATTTGGAACTACTATAGCTCATACTTGAGCATTCAGAAACTGTTTGCTTAGAAATGTATGTATGTATGTATGTATGTAACAAGGGGAGTTTTAGGGGACAGTCCCTCTACAACTGCCAGATATAGTGAGAAATGTTAATGTGAAAATGAGTTGGTTTTTCAACTGCAATGAGATGTATGCTCTTTTCCAAGAGCTCTATTATTGTAGTTCAGAAACGTCAGTTCTGAACCAGTCACAGTTGGAGAAGGACACAACTATCTAGCAATCCACTGAAAATAACATTACTCCATTAGCTGGCTTCCTCTTTACTACTGTTGTGATGTAAGTCAATGATTTTAGATTTAATTATATATCCTGTCATGTTTTTATATTTGAGAGAGGGAGTAGCTGCCCCATGCCACACCACCCTCGCTAAATCCAGTACATCCTGTTTTATTTTTAAAAACCTTTCAAGGTGAGGTCACTCTCTCTAAAGCTACTCTCAGGTTCTGAGCGCTACAGCCTTAGATTCTGTGCTGTCTGACAGGTCTCACTTAGGGAGGAATTCCCTCTTTTCATGCAAATGCAACTCTGCTGGTCTGCACAGGAGGCCTGACCCCATCCTCTGCTCCAGCTGTCCCCATGGGTGGTGCAGTAGCTGCTCTGCAGTTCTTTTGTTCTGTTCTGGGACCTGTTGAGTAGAAAGCCTGCTGACAGCTGGGAAGCAACAGTTCAGACTGTTGTGAATGCTGACATTTTGTTTTCTCTGGTCTGATGTGGAAGAAAACTGACTGGGAGCAGCAGGGAAGGACCTCTAATATTGCATGAATCCTTTTACCTCGTGGAGAGGAATATTGGCAGGATGGTGGGGAGCTTTCTGCTTGTGAGCAGAAGGATGGCTCTTCCTTGTAAAGACTGAGCTGCTGAGGGCTGTTGTGGTTGCAAACCACCATTGGTCCAGCTTCACCAGCCTCTCACACAGAAAACTTCCACATGAATTGTTTCATGGAAACTGAGGGGCTCTGTGGAACTGGATTCTGCACAACAAACTTGGGTTCAGTAATTAGGTCTCAAACTTTGTGCTGAAAAAATCTTTCAGTGATGAATAACAAAGAGGAAGTATATTTCATTTTCCACAAAACACTGGCTGCTTGGCTGGCAGTAGTTGCAGGATGTGGTCCAAACCAATTTAATGGCAGTGGCTCTTGTTCTGTTCACTTCAGTGGAGCTGACCTAGAGCTCATCCTTATTAGTGGAGTTTAGTCCAGCAGTCCTAGGGGTGAGCCTAGGATGGCTCTGCTCTATTGTACAGCACAAAGGAGGCTGGCTGGGCAGTGGAGAGCTTTTGCTCTAAACAGAGACATCAACAGAGCAACCAAGCATCATACATTCCTGCTGATTGGGAATGGGCAACAGGAGAGAGGGAGAGCAAAATTAAAAGCTTGGAGCCTGGTGTGGAGTAAAAGAGATGGCAAAAGAAGACATCCACCAGGGTTGATAATCCCCTGTGAGGTCTTGTTTGTGGTTGGTCTTGGAAATTGCTGGCCAGTTGCCATTGCCTGTGTATCCCAGACTCACTGTATGTGCATTCAGGTAACCTCTGCATGGTCTCAGCACAAGAAGTTAACTGAGTGTCTGAGCATCTGATCCTGTTCTCAGCAGCTTTAACACCTCTGTAACAGCAGTTTATGCACCTCTAAGTTAAGCATGTGCCAAAGTACTTCATTAGTCTGGTGTCAGGTGCTCAGTACATGAGCCTGGAAGGGCATTGGGAGAGTTTTACACTGACATGACTCTGGGAAGATACAGAAAGTGTTTGTGTTTGGTGTAGCTAATCTGGAATACACACAAACACCGAATTAATCTCATTTAAAAGCTTTGAATTAAGTCTGTTTACTGTAGAGGAGCCTCCCACAGTTCTCCACCTTCTTTTTGTTTCCTGGTATATTTTCATTTGGGAAAGCTGCAGTGTGAATATGTTCTCTGTGCTCAACTGACCTGTGATACTGCAGCAGTTTTTGCTATTATTGTTCAAAAAGGAACACAACATCATTAGCTTTTCTCCCTTTCTCCTTTGGATTGCCTTTCATTCCTGCTCAGGTTTTACCCCAAACCTGCTTACCTCCCTGTTTCCTCTCCTTTCAGCTTCTTCAAATGCGATGACTCAGCAGCTCCAGGAGGAATTTGACAGCAGCGTGGAGAATGCAGAAGCTTGGATGAAGGCCATCCAAGAGAGACTGAAGATCAATGACAACACCAAAGGACCTCGATCTGCCCTAGAAGCCAGACTGAGAGAGACTGAGGTAAGGGAAGAGCAATGGAATTCAGAGGTGGCTCTCACTGCTGCCATTGTCACAGCAGTTATTGCTGTGAGCTCAGGACTCTTCCATCAGGAAATTGTCAGCTGCCCCTGCTTGTTGGAACATTGGGCCTGTGTGGATGGATTCACATCAGTATTCTTTTAAATTTTCTATTTGCAAATTGTTTACAGATGTAGAAAAAGAGGATGGCAATTTGCTATCACAGGCTTCCAAGCTTTTCAGATGGATTTGGAACACTAGCAGCAGGTTTGGCAGGTTAAAATGTTTACACTCTCCTCAAGCCTGGAACAATTTGGTTGCTGCTTGCAATTACCATAATAATTTGCAGACAACCAGCATATAGTATAAAAGAATCAGATCATGTTAGTGTTCCACCCCCTCCAGGACTGTCACTGATAGAAAAAGATTGCAGTGTCCTGGTAATGGGCTGTTTTAAAGTAATTCTTTTGTCCTTTTCCATAACCTTGATGATAACAGGGCTTACAGATCCCCTTTATGATCTGTTCAATGAAAAGGTAAAAGTTCTCAATTTTTTCCTGGTTTTACTTAATCTCTTTTATAACTCTTCTCAGTGAGATCCTGTTACAGATTGTGCCTGCTCTCTTACAGTGATTTCACATTCATTAACTTCAGTTTCATTAGATGTTATCTAGGTCTTGTAATCCCAGAGAAGGAAACACTCCTGTTTGTCCCATTTGTACCATTGGAGGGAGTGGTGATCTTTCTATGACTAACATTTAAACTATTTTTATACTTTTATTACCTGTAATTCCAAGTAATCTGTTCTTTAATTTAAATGGTAAGATCTTTCCCATTGTTACTTATCCCAAAATCTCTCCTTTTATGTGTCTACTTATATTTGGTCTGCCTATTCTGAAGTTTAACAAAAAACAGTGCAGGCTTACATGGATGATGAGGTAGTTTACAGTGATGTCTTCAGCCTTTTTCCTTTACTGTGGCTTATTGGAGGATGGATCTTGCCTGTGGCATAATATAGAGACTGATGGAGTGATGGATGGTGGCTAGACTTGTATGTCAGTCATAAAAACCTGAAGCATTTTACCTTGGTCTATAGTTTAATTTTTCTGACCTTAAATTATTTTCACCCTTTTCTTTTGTCTGAGAAACTATGCTGTGTACAGTTTCAAGAAACACACAAGAGTCACAGGAACTCGAGTAGAAGAGTGATAGTTTGGCAAAGGGGCAACATTCAAGGCAGAGATAACAAGTTATAAGGTCTAGAGATTTGTGGTGATGTGATATGGCCTGAACTGCTGAAGCCTGTTTACTTCTGTGGGCTTTAGAGGAGATCTGTAACATGCAAAAAGTCATGTTAAGAAATTATTTCAACTCAGACTATGGAGATTAATCACTCTAAAGATTAACAAGTTCTTTCTTCCTGTGTGTACTTTAACCATCTCCTGCTCCTTCATCCTTCCTCCTTTCTGGGCCTGGCTTCTGTCTCCAGCTCAGATATCCTCATGATGTGCTCACTGCTTCCCCTATTGGCTGTGCTCAAATCCACTGTTTAGTTTTCAGTTCTTTTTTTGCACCTGGCTTGCCAGGGTTTTTTTTCATGCTTCCTTCCTGTGGTTTATTTTCTGTTAATTTGTTAATAAAAATGTCAGCCAATGAGACAAATAATGTAAAAAACAGATTTGAAAAAGAAAATTGACTGTACAGCCACTGCTTTCTTGCCAGCTGTTTGTTTGCTTCTTATTGCTGGAAAAATAACAGGCTTAGAATACAGCTTTAGTCTTACACTTGACCTGTTGGATGATAGCTGTGGCTTGTATTTTCTTGCTTTGCCCTGCCCTTTGCCCTGCTTCCCTGGATTCTATTAATCATACCTTTCTTAGTAAATAATTTCTCCAAACAACTGTTGATACATCACAGGCAGGTGTGCTGCCTACATGCCAAAAGAACATGCTTTGCTTTCCCCAGAATGTGGGTCTGGAGATCCAGAGGCCTTTTACTTGTCTCACCTTTGCAATAACTGACATGATCAAATCCCATAGGCCTAACTTGACCAAAAGTAATCACTGATTTTTAAAATCTTGGTGTTTTCATTGTAGAAGCCTTTTTCTTCAAACTGGAAAGTCTGCAGTTTGCCAGGAGTTTATGGAAGAGCAGCAAGAAAAGCTAATTTGATAGTATCAGAAGTTTGGATAAAGTAATGTTGAAAGCTGACATCTGAATTGGGGGATAATTAATCTGTTAAATTGTACAAAACTTGTGCTGATTTTCCCATCTCTGGATACTTAAAATTAGATGAATCCACTTTCAGTTCCTGGCATTCCTATTTGTGTAAGATACACATTTTCTCCAATTCATAACTTAGCAATTTAGAGTCGAAGCAAAATTGGGTAGCAGGCAGAAAATTCCACTAGTTAATTTCTCTTGGCTTCTTTCCTAAGCCAACTTTTATTTGCACTAGGAAGCCTTTTTAATACGCTTCATGATTTCTTATAGTATAGCTTAAACTGGAGAGGTTGCAGTGTAGCCTGTGGTGGTTGCCTCTTTGTGCTTTGGCAGGTGGGGAAGAGCAGCTGGCAGCACAGTGCTGTAACCTTATGACAGCAATGGAAACAGAGCCACAAGCATTTCATAGAGGATGCTCTGTTTTTTGTAGCTAACTTAAATGTTTTTCAAACATGCTGTGTGGTTTGCAGTTAAACTCAGTCCTTTAGGATGTTTAAGAATAAACATGTCTGAAAAAACATTCATATTTTCCTTTCAGGAGAAGCTACAGCAGGGATTTAGGTGGGAAGGGTTAATTGTCTGTTCTGTAGAGAGACATTTCCATGTTAAGAGTCCATGTTAACAACTGGACTCAATGATTGTGAGGGTCTTTTCCAACCTAAATGATTCTATGAGTTCATGATTCCTGGGTAAAAACAAAGTTTACATTTCATCAATTATGCTTGTTTTCTTTCCATGCTTTCAGTATCATTTGTTTTTCTCACAGAAAATACGTGCCCTGGAACCAGAAGGCAGCTTGAAAATGGACTTGATTCTTGTGAAGGCAGATGCTGCTCTTCGCAGCATCAGTGAGGATAAGAAGCATGAGGTGCTCTCTAAACTGAAAGACATTAAAGCCTTGTGGGAAGAGACAGCCATATACATTACTCATTGTCACAGGTAAGACAAACACACTCTTGGCTGTGTTGAGGCAGCTGTTTCCTCCAGTGCTTTCATAAAGTGCTTCCAGCTTCTCTCTGCTCGCTGGATTGTAGATAGCAATTCCCTGCTAATCCCAGTCCTGTGAGCATTTTGGGGACTGTGTGAGAAGAGAGGATCAGTGAGACCTCAGTGCTCTGCCTTCACAACCTGGCCCACCCACCCCATGGTCTACAATGATGAGTTTGGTCAGAACCTTATACAGAATATTTCCTCCCCAAAGCAGAGAGAACCTGGGAAGTGAACCCAAACCCTGCAAATTCAGAGCAAGTTAAAACTGCTGAGAACCTTGTGCACTGCTTTGAAGGCCTTTTGGAATTGTTGGTCTCCACTGCTCCCATCATCATTTCATCTGAGTGCTCTCTCTTGCTCTCCCCACAGCCGCATTGAGTGGGTCTGGCTGCACTGGAGCGAGTACCTGAAAGCCCAGAATGAGTTTTACACATGGATCCACAACATGAGGGTGACCTTGGAGCCTGACATTGAGTTGCAGCTTGGCTTAAAGGAGAAGCAGTGGCAGCTGAGCCATGCTCAGGTTTTGCAGAATGATGTCCTAAATCAGTCAGTCCTGCTGGAAAGGCTGCTGGAGGAAGCTGCTTCGTTGTTCAGCAGGATAGGTGACCCCAGCGTTGATGAGGATGCTCAGAAGAAAATGAGGGTGGAATATGAAGGAATCAGACAAGAAGCTCAGGTACACTTATGAAGAGTGGGAAGTGTTCAAATTCCTCCTATCTATGGGGTTGTTTGCTACTTGAGTGATGAGGCTTACCTGGTAGGGCTGCAAAAGGAAGCAGAGCTCAGAATCCCTGTTCTTTCAGCCAATGGACTGCTTGAGGCAATTATCAAGTCCCAAGATGAGCTGTTCTCCTGGGGTGATGTTAATTGGGATGCTCTTACGTAGTGCTTTATAGTGTGTTGCTGTAAAGTAACTGCAGGCTGCTTGCTGTGACCTAGTGAATATTGCTTTAGGTCATCTCTGTATAAAGTTAGAATTGTTCCTCATCTTTCAGCACATTAGTGGTTCATGTATGACCAGATGCAGAGTACCCATGCCAGAAGCCAGGGAATATTACATGGACACAGTCTTGCTGTGGGAAGTAGGGTTAGTTGAGACCCAGAGCTGCCCTCCCTGCCTGCAGAACTGGGAAACACAGAGGTGGAGTCAGCTCTGGCCCAACACTTTGCTCAGTGGCCACTTCCACTATCTGAAAGATTTTCATGCACACAGATACTAATTCTTGCCCAATACTAATCTTCCAGCTTGAACAGTTGTTAAATAGGCTGGTGTAAGACATCCTGCTTCATCTTTTAATACCAGTGATTTCCTTTCACCCTGTTTTTGTGTAAAGGTTTCAGAAAAATGCTTGTACTTTTCACTTCTAAAATTCAAATAAATACAGGACTAGACTATGTGGTATGGCTGAGGGGCAGACATCTGTGGATGGGCAAAAGAATTCAATTTCTTACTAATCAAATCAATAGAAGTACTCAAAGGGATATTTTATATATATATATATATATATAGATACATCTATACCAAACATAGAAATTAAAACCTAGATTTTGCTCATGGTGACTTCCAGAATTTCTTAGGTTGGAATTACCTGGTGCAAATAGAAATAATTTTCACTACATTGGTTCTGCTGTCTGCCTCTGTTATAATGCTGCCTTCTATTAATTCCCACACCTACACACCAGTCCAGAACTGGAGCCTGGCAGTGATGGATGCTTTCCCTCCCTGGATGCTGTTGTACAAAGTTAACTTCAGATCACTGGAAGAACAACAATATTGGGATGCTTTTTCCATTGCCCTGCTTGCCCCATAGATGCATTTTACCTCTTGAAGTAAAATACCCCAAGCCCCAAAAGTGACAAAAAAACCCCTAAGCTGGCATCTTTTGTGAGCATGTAGTTCAGGTACTTTTCTAGCCATAAATATACAACTATTGCTAATGTCTCTCCAAAATCTAGAGTATGTTTGGAAATTCTGTAGCTGCAGCTGCCACAGAGAAGCCACCAACAGACCTGGGCCTCAATACTGATTATTTATTTTTAAAGGTAGATCCCTTGATTACAAGGCTTCTTGATATACAAATAAGAAGGTTCCTGGGAATTCGGGTGTTGTCTACCTAGATTGCCATTTAAAATTATCATTCACTCCCTCCTCACCAAAATTATCTTTGGTTTTGAAGCTGGAGACAGTCATTAGTTATTTTAATAAAGCTGTTCTTTTAGACATGTAATTTGAATACTCAAAGCCAGAATGTGACCTCTCTGAGACTGATTTTACATAGTGTGATTTCTCTAACCAACTTGGATATGTGCTGGTGTAAATGAGATCAGGAAGTGGCTCATACTAGTTAGACAAAATATGTCTTTATGTTTCCAGCCAACTGAGATGCTAGAAAAAGCTTTTCTTTGGCATTGGCTATAAATACCACATTTCATAGAAGGATGAAGTGAGAGAATCCAGCTAAGAAATCCCTCTTTCAGGAGGTACGGAACAAAGAAGGGAGTTGGAAAGTCTTGGATTTTGCAACTGAAGTAAATGAGGAGTTTATTATTTAATGCCAAGGTGTCAGGCACCTTGGGAATTGCATTGGAAAGTATAACACTTGTTAGGGAAACTCTGCCACCTCTTCCAGTGGGCAGGAGGAATGAATGAATGAATGAATGAAAGAGACACAGCAGTTGTAAGGGGATTGCTCTGGCCCCTCACATGATGAGAGGCCAGACTAAATGTGACTTGCAGATGCCAGCTGAATGCCTGAGCACAGGAGGCTCGCTGGTGTTTGTAGATTACACTGGTGTTTGAGGGGCATTTTTAGACCCTGTGCAGTTGTCCAGCTCTATCAGAATGCAGGCTCTTGGACAGTGTTTCTTAAATGGTTTGCCTGTGATAGTGCTTCTTTGGTATGAGCAAATGGTGGGAGGTTTTTTTGGTTTTTTTTTTTCTTTGTGCTAACATGTGTCTTTAACATTCCAAAATTTAAAAGCATATCTTTTAATTACATCAATAGGAATATTTTTAGATGTGGCAGCCATTTCCTACATGTTTTCCCTTGCCTAGGAAATTAAAAATATGCAGAGGTAAATGGTTGTATGTTTCAGCATAAACTATGGTTCAAGATGGTAAGAAAAGTTATGATGTATGGGAAGTTGATATTTAGGAAATATATTAAATACTTCTGAGCACATCAGATTAATTTCAGTCCATTTTGTCTCTGTTAACTGAAACCTAGATACTTAGAATAATTTGCTAAGGTACCCCAAGGGTAAGACTAAAAGCACCAGGAAGGGTAGCAGGAGCTTTCTTGTATTTTCCTTGAGACTCTACAGAGGGATTTAAAGTAGGAACTTCCTTTATGTGCTCTAGATTGCCTTCCAGAGGAGGCTTATTTGCCTTCCCTGACTGTGAAGGCAGCTAAGGGGAGGGAGCTTCCTAAGCCTCTGTCCACCTTCCTTGAGCGGCCAGGGCCGGGCGTATGCTGTGCAGCCCTTGGCAAACCCATTCCTTTCCTGTCTGTGCTCTTACTCTTTGCAGGGCCATGTCCTTGCTTCATGTCTCCTCACTTCAGCCTAGTGAATGTGGATGTTGAGTTTCACACTGTGCTTCTCCCCAAACAGCTAACCTAACAGGAGCAGGTGATACCTTATTTTTCATCATTGGAAAATTTTCCTGCTTAACCTCTTGTGGAGGGAGGGCTCAGCCAACTCTTTTTAAGCTTTTTTGTCTGACAGCTAGCACAGTCTGTCTGGGTCCATGGCATCTATTCCTTGTCCTCACAGACCAGCAGTTCACCCAAACTGCTTATTCCTTTATTTTACCTGGCCAAGGGTAGGTTCTTTTAACTTCATTTTGAACCCCTTGTATATCAGCCTAAGATTTTTGAGCTTAATAACATCTCTGCTTTGTTATTGTGATTTAAGCCTTTTGGAGCTTCTGCCAGTAAAATAATCTAATTCCCTGGAGTCAATAAGCTTAGCCTGAATTGGGTGACTTTGGTGCGTGGCCCTTTTACGCTGCTATAAGGTTGTCTTCTTTAGATTATTGACCTGAGTTTGAATCATGAATTGTTTAGCCTCTGCAGATTTGAGAATTGACACATGGGCATTTAGCAAGTGAGGTGTTCTGCTGGATACATCCTGGCCACAGAAATCTACTGTCATAATTCTACCCTTTGGTTTCATCCAAACCTGTGTATGGATGGTGCTATTAAAGGTCATGCTCTAATAAATGGGCAGCATGTCATCCTCCATGGGAAACAACTGTCCCTTAGCTGTTCCTCTTTTGTCCCACAGCAAGTCAGCTAACTTGAGGGGCATCACTCAGGATTTGCAAAAGTCAGCAGAGACTGAAGTGGCAGTGTGAAAAACAGGCTGCTGGTGTTCCACTTGCAGGGTGGTGGCTTTGTAGTGCACCATGGGCATACCTGTCCCAAAGGTGAAGGGCAGAGTCCCAGAGGGACTGTCACCCCCCGCACATGGGGATCCTGTTGGCCTGGCTGGAGAGCAGGAGACAGAAAGGAGATGGCTCACTGCCACTTCAGGCAGGTTGGCAGGTGTGGGGCCTCTCCAGAGCCTCCCAGGGACAAGGGAAATGAAAGGGGACTTTTGAGCTCTACCCACCATTGCAGCTGTCACTCAGAGGCCAGTGCTGCTCAGAGGCCCGTGCTGAGTCCTGTATTACACAAAATGAAACTTGGCCTATTGTCTGTGAGAGCAAAGGATGGTTTCAAGCATGCTGCAAGAACTAAACGGATTGCACAAGAAGTGGTTTTGTTTTTGTTTTTTTTTTAATCTAATGTAACCACAGTGTACCTCCATTGCTTTCCATGCCAGCTGGAGAAGGGCAAGGAAAAATCAGTCTGATTTTGCAGAAGATAATACTAATGTTGAATATTATACTAGTGAAACAACAGAGCAGGTGATTTGTGTCAAAATCAAAAAGGCCTGAACTTGGGCTGGCAAACAAGGCCAGTCTGAGCAAACGTGACTCTGACTTGTGAGGAGTGCCAGACTGGATCAGCAGGCAGCAGCTCATGGTGTGCAGGCTCTTGTAAATTCAGGGATTGTTGGCTGTGGGATGCACAGGAGTAACTTGAAAAATGAAGCCTGCTTTTCATTCACTTGAATTTGTTTCCAGAGTCTGTGATACCACCACAGAATAGTTTGTGACCTACTAAGTACAAAAGTGCATGGGCTACACAATTGAAGGTGATGATCATTTTCAATGCAGTCTGTTTAAATGATGAAGTATTTAAAACTATTTTCATGCTTCTACTGCATTCTTTTATTTTCATTTTGAGAGATAAAGAAGATGTGCTCATCTTTATTTTTAACCCACAAGAGGAATGTAACTGCTTGTCTCTCAAAGTGAAAACCAGAAACAAACTTCTGTCTCTTTTCTTTTTCTAATGAGAGAGTAGGAATGCTCAGAAAACCAGAAATTCAGCTAACAAGGTCTTGCAGTTTGTGTTCTTGGAGACTTAGACATTGAGAGTCCGCAGCAAAATCCAGACAGGAGCAAGCCTTTGTGTACTTTTGTGTTCTGTTTCTCGAGGTAAACTTTGAATTCCTGTGGAGGCCTAGCGTTATCAGAGCTCCTGAAAAGGGAGTCTTGTTTGTAAATTCTGGGTTACAATGTAAAGGAAAAAGAGCCAGATAAGCACAGTCCTCACCACTTCTGATGTTTCTTGTTACAGAACAGAGTGAAACTGCTTGAAACGATAACCAAGGAACATGAGCAGTACAGCGCCAGTGTCAACCAGTTTCAATCATGGCTCAGTGGTGTCACAGAGAGATTAAACTGCTGCACTGGAGAAGCAACCACGTCTTCAGCAGAGGAGAAGCTAAAGGCACTGAAGGTCCTTGAACAATATAGCTCTAACAAGGAGCTAGGATTGTGTGTTTTTCATGCCCATATGTGTTGCTCAAACCATACAAGGGTGTCCTTTAGAAAAAACTTACACATACAAAATAGATGGTGATTTTAGCATGGGCTAGGGCAGATGAGTTGCACGAGGTCCTGAAACTGTTTGTATGTATGGTTCTTCCAGTATGAGTCACAAACTGGTCTGGTTTGTTTTTCTTAAAGCCTGAGCTCCAACAGTTATGTGATTCTTTGAGAATCTTGTTTAAATAAATCAGATTTGGTAAACATGATCCAAGTAGACCCTGAAGGTTCACAGGTTTTGAGAGTTTAGAGCTGGTGATGAAAATACCAGTTTTGAGAACAATATCCTTTATTTTGGTGCCAATGCTTTTAACGTTTGCCTTAAAAGCTCTGAGATCCAACTATTAATATATGTCTAGTGCCTGCAGCTCCTCTTCTCTTTGCCAGGGATCTCAGTTTTATCTCATTAATGAAAACAATTTTTTTCAGAATCTATGACAATTAGTATTTCTCAGAAGGCAGTCAGATTACTAACCCTGGTCACTTGAAAAAAGACATATTTTCAAATAAGAAGTGAAAACCAAAATACGTATAACCAGGAGGGGTCGTCTTTTTTCCTACTGATTTCAGCTTTTCTCCCAGCTTTCTATTCATGCAGACAATCTTTATTTAACTTCTTCTTGCAGGAAATTGCCAAAGATATTAGGAGTGGTGGAAAGAAATGGAAGCACCTTGAAAATCAGTGTGCAGAGGTGATTCAGAATACCTCTCCACTTGGATCTGCAAGACTGAAGGATGAACTTGAAGAGCTAAGAAAAGCCTTGGAGAAGTTGAAACTGCTGAGTAGTCAGGAGGAGGAGAGATTGCTCAAGATCCAACAGTCTGACAGTGCCTATGAGTCCCAAGCCAGACAATTGGAAGCAGACATCCAGCAGCTGAGGAAAGATTTACAGAGACTGGAAAATGACCTGGACCCTGGGGAAGGGGAAAAGACTGAAGATGAGTTTGTAATGCTGTGGAAAAAATGCAATGTAAGTTGTTATCCTTTGTGTGGAGGAGGAAGTGCAGCTGTAGACTGAACATGCATAGTCACATCCAACAGATGCCTGTCCCATTGGCTAGAGATGATAAGGAAAGAGAATGAGTGTGTGTGAAACACACTGAGGAAAGTGTGACTGCCAACAGTGGAGTCAACTGCCCCAGCCTTCATCTCACACTGCACAGAAGGAGCAGGGCTGGAGGATGTGCTGCAGTTTGTGCCTAGAGTTCAAAGGGATCATATGCAAAAATCACACAATACAGAGCAAGCAACACAATTTGCTCCACTTAAAAAGAAGCAGGAAATTAATGCCTCACTGAGTGTGTACATATATATATATATATATATATATATATATATACACATTGACACAAGTACACACTGAGGTATTTGGTAAGACCATTGCTATGTCATATTGGTCATCTCTGTAAAACAGGTACCTCTCTTCCTTTACTAGCAGACACATCATCAGTACTAAGGAGTCCTAAGATTGTAGCAATCCAGTATTTACACCAAAACCAATCTGCTGCAAAAATGAGTGCAAAAAAATTGTCACACGTTAAGTAGATAAGAATCTTCACTGCTCGTTTTCTCTCGAGAGCTGGCTTTGCGTTTATTATCTGTTCTCAAAATGCCTTCACTGCTGTTTGTATATCTAGAACTGTGCAGAATTAACTGGGAGAAGTATATGCAAAAAGGATCAAAAAAAATTTAGACTGGTTCAATCCATCTACATTTGCATGGGTTTTAGTTGTTTTTGTTTCCCTGAGTCACCCTAGAATTAACATTCTCTATATGTGAGTCTCTGAGAAAGATCTGTTCAGGCAAACAGATGTTTTTTAGACTGCTCAAAAAATGAAGCTCATGTTATATACTGCAATCAGTGAACTGAAACCAGGCTTGTTTGGGATTCACTCTGTTCAAACAGTGAACCCTGCAGATCAGATGCAGAGGCTGGGCAGTGTGAGGGGAGGAGAGAGAGCCTGCTGGAAAAAAACTGTTGCTGAGAATGTTTTATGTCTTAGCAAAGACCATATCCCCTATAACCAGGAAAAAAGCCACTGAAAGGGGATTTGTGCATACCCTGAGACACAGCCTTACTTCTTATTTCTTATAAGAAACTACATAAGGTACGATCTGTTCATTATTTTTGTAATTAAGGCAACAAGGGCAGCTCTGGCTGCAGAAGAGTCAAAGATTGAGAGGCTGAAGGCTCAGCTTAAAGAACTGCTACGGTTTCCCCAAGATGTGCAGCCACACATTGACAGTGTTGTCTCTGCAATACAGCAGTATCAAAGGTACTGGGAAGTCTGATTGTGGTGGGGGGAGTCTTCTCTCAGGGATTGTCAGGGGCCTAAGAAAAAAGTGAATTGTAGGTGATGGGTAGAAAAAAAAAGCTTTTGATAATTACATCCACCTCCATGTTTCAGTCAAGCTGTAATTTTAGCCATTTGCTAGGAGCTGGAGGCTCCTGGTCATTCTCAAGCAATGATCTTACATCATTAATGTTGTGTATGGTTTGAAGAAAATTAGATTGTTGGCAGCTAATTTGATCTAATTAGCATTTTATAATAATAATTTATGTATTTTGCTTGCCTTTCATGCTAGCAACTAGAAAATCAGGACAGGAGCTGTGGTAGTAAACGGTTCAGAAGAATTATGGCCCTCCCTTGTCGAGTTTGTTGCGGTGACTCACCAGCCTTAGCAATTATTTGGCAGAGTTTATTCCCCTTCTCCTGGCAGCTTAAATGCATGTTCCTGTTTTCAACTTGCCTTGGGTTGGAAACTCTGAAAGTTTAGCCTCTCCCAGACTTCAGTGTTTCCGTTTCCAGGCTGCCTGGAATCAGGAAGTAAAGAAGCTGCAGCAAATTTTGCAAACTAGAAGAAAGGATCATTTTTTAAGGGAAAAAAGAAGGTCAGTTCTTTTCCTGTATCCCAGCTTATTCCCCTCTGTGCACAGTATGCTGTCCTGCTGGAAGGGTTATAGGTCATTGTGGGAAAGGATTTCAGTTTAAAAACTAGAAAGTAAACAAAGTTGAAAGAGGAGCAAAGAAGGCAGGGGACTTGCCTCTGAGTAGAAAATGGCGGCTGCTTCTTTGCCAGCTTCTCTCCAAAGCTGCTTTGGGAAGTCTGGCAGCTTCCCACTGAGCCTGGCAGGGGCAGCAGAGCAAATGGCAGAGGACGTGGAAAGTCAGAACTTTCTATTTGCAGAGCTTTTGGCCTCTGCAAACTTGCCTTTGTTTAGCCCCGTCATGGCCCAGTGACACAGGTAAGAGTGCTGTTCCTGTTTGTGTGGAAAGGCAGCATTGATCCTGATTGGCATTGCCCTCACCTGCTTGTCTTGTGAGTTTGCAAGATACTGTTCCCCTGTGAGCATAAAGTTTGAGCTGTGTTTTGGCAAATCAGGCAGGATTCTGCAAACTGGGAGGTCAGGCAAGCTGAGAGAAACAGGAGGCAGCTGCACGGGGTGTGTCACTGCTGGGCCTTGTCACTTGGCTGGGTTTGGGCTGTGCTCTTTCTAAGAGAAGCCTGGATATGCATTGGAGGTTTGCTGATTTATAGTATTCCAATAATAGAGCTGTATATGAGTGTGGATACATATACATAAATACAAAGCTTTTTTATCAGAATCACCTCTATCTACTAATATAAATTCAAGTGATTCTGCAAAATTTAAAATAATTGTATCTGAAATAAAAATGTATTTTTCACTTTTATGTTAACATAAGGTTATAGAAGACTTTTTAACGTAATTTTTTTAAGAAACAAAATCTTGTTTTTTACAGGCAACTGCAGTTACATTCTAGACACTCTTGATTTGTTCCTCCTATGAGCCAGTGAGACTGCTCTGATAATATGATTTATTAAATCACACTGGTGACAGCAGCCAAGAAAGTTCACATACAAGGGAAGACTGCTGGCTACTAGAAAAGCAAAGTAGCTCCTGATACACAGTTGCATAGAAGACAAATGTGTCCTGAGACATCTAAATAAAGTTTTGTCAGATGTCTCTGACTGACAGAGCAGCTGCTGGCAAGCAGCAGCAGGCTCAGGCAGTAAAACAGACTGAGGCCTTTGTGTTGTGTATGGTTTACACTCCAGTATTGTGTTAATTCATGCCTGGAAGAATAGAATGTTTGGGCTTGGATTTCTTCATAATCCTTCTCTTGGCTGTCACTTTATCCTTACAGTGTTAGAAGCAAGACTTCTAAAATGAGCACTGATACAGAAACCCAGATGTGGAGACTCATCCAAGATCCCCTGCAAAGTTTTGAGCAGTGGAAGCCATCGGTCCAGATGCTCCTGGAGACTCCAGAGCCAGAGCTGGCTCACATTGAGGTAGTAAAGCTGTTGCCAAGTTCAGAAATGTGGGTTTGACCGAGCCTGCATACAGCTGCCAGGCAGCAGCAGCTGGAAGGTCCTGCCAGTGTGGCAGGAAACCCCGCAGTAGGGATGGAGCTCTTTCCTTGGCTCCAGCTGTAGCACATTGTCGTATTTTCTGCCTTCCATTTGGTTAACTGGAGTTGTCAGCTGAGTAAGCTGCAGAAAGTGCTAGGCATCTTTAACAATGATGATAATATTGTTTAGCATTGGCCCAGATCTCCCTGGATGGGAAGTTTGTGGACTCTGTTAAAGAATTATCTGGTGATATGGATGTGGGATTAAAATGCACAATTAGCGCGTATTCCCAGCAAGGTGTGTTTGTTACTTTGTCATCCCTGTGATCTTCAGAATAAATGTGTCTGTGAACAGGGATGGAATTTATCCTCAGGATGAGCATTCAAGCTGTCCTTTCTGTTGGTTGTTTAGGCCTCTCCTCTGCACAGACAACTCTTTCCATAGTACAGCTTACCTCTCTTTCTGTTCACAAAATGGATGCAGCCCTGGTGCCTCTAACATTATCAGGAAGATTTTTCCTTTATCTGGGCACTGTCCAGGTACCTTCTGCTACCCCTTGTTGGCCCAGCATGCTGTTTTTACCTGACTTTGTCGTACTGCTTTGGTTGTGTGACTTGTGTGACAATAATATGGTTATATGATTTTTTTTTTGTATGATCTCACTGGAAGAACTTTTCTCCTTCAGGCTGCTCTAGCTGAAAGCTCCCAGTTCAAAGAGAAGTTGATGACATTACAGATAAAGAAAGATGTGCTAAACAATGTCCTTGGTGAGGAAAAAGCAGAGTCTTTCCTTCAAGAAGTAGCTGAAGCTTCAAAGGAGAGAGAAATTTTACACAAAAGTCTGCTGCAAAGCAAGAGCAAACTTCAGGTGAACTACAAAACCCATATACTGTCTTTGCTTGTGATAAAGACAAAGATGGAGTCTTTACTAAGCCAGTTTTATACATACAAATTTAGTACTAATCCCTTTTTCTAGGTTAATCAAATATTCAAATAAATTTGTGGTCTGTTGCATAGTGTAGTTCAGTGTTTGTCCTGAATATGAAGCAGATATTGACAAAGCATAATGCCAAGGTATATATGTTAAATGCTGGACTTGTTTTCTTATTTCTTCATTTAGAATTTGATATTGCAGCATAAGAACTTTGATGCTGGTTTTGCACCATTGCAGAAGAAATTATCTGCCATCAAAGCCAAATTAGATCTGGAGAAGGAACCACGGCCTGACTTCTTGGGTAAAAAGACACAACTCCAGAGACTCCAGGTACATTACAGTATTGCTTGGCCATCCTCAGCTAACTGTGGCTCCTGTTTGTTCATATTTTCCTAGCATTGGAAATTCAGTACCTTTCCCCTCGATTGTGTGTTAGATAATTTAATTTGGTGCAGTTTATGGCATGGGTGAATGAAATTAAAGCAGTGCAGATGAAACACTGGCAAACTGAGCTTGAGGGAAGGAAGAGACAGCTGGAAGCTGTTGGTGGTACACCTTCTTGGGCTAGTTTAATTGCTAAAGAAAGTGTACCCTGACACTTCCCACTGGCAGTAAAACTGCACAAGATAGATTGGTTCAGGTTAACTTCCTCAAAAGAGTTTCCACTGTTCCACTTCCTTCTGTATTCTCCTCTTTCTGCTCTTTACCTTGTCACTCAGCTGTGACACATGCTGGATTTACTCCACGGCTGATCCAGCTATGCAAGATAAGAAAAAAAAAAATGGGAAAAGACAATAATGTTTGGTTAGTGTTTTGAACTGGCTCAGCAAAGGGTCCAACATGCAGTAGAGCCTGTTCAAGGCATACACTGGGATTACATACGTGGGAGAGGGGAGAGAGGAGCAGGAGGAGAAGGGAGAGGGGATGTGACTGCCATGGTGAGCTGTACACCTGTACTGTGGCACTTCATCCGTGGTGACCACAGGGGTGTTGTCACCACAGTTCTTTGCTGGTTATCCTATGGCTCCTTTGGCACTTCTCAGCAACTTATCTTCTTTGCTAGCTCCCAGTAACATGTAAAGGACATCCAACTTTTTTTTTCAGAAACATTTACTTCTAGGCATCGAAACAGTTCATTTTCTTAATGACAGTAGCTTTTACTGGTATTTTTTGGCCTCACAATGTCAAATGAAACTACCTTTGGTGTATGTTTTTGAAAGTCCATGCCATACCTAGCACACTACACACATGGAATCTGTCTTTTCTTCTGCAGATGATCCAAGATGACTTGGCAGAGCTTGCAATTCACATGGAGGAGGTAGAGAAGCTTGTTCAGTCAAATACCACACACAGGCATGAAATGAACCAACTTTCATCTGACTCTCAAGCCCTGAAGAGATCACTGGAGGTAACATAAGGAAGTTTTTAGTTGCCTGGGGAGTTGTCAGTTGCTTCTATTTAAAAATATTTTAAAACATCTTTGAGCATAAGACATTACAGATTACATTACAGATAACATTTGAGTTACATGAGATACTTTCATTTTGGGGAAAGAAAACACTGAATTCTTAAGACTTTGATAACTTTTCCAGGATTCTGTGATTATCTCTAATGTGATTTCCCTTGGAGATAGGATGCCATCCACACGGATATTGTGTCTGTATAAACTGTTTCTGGAGTGGGCCTGAGATTCCTGACCAAAAGAAATCATATTATCATGGTGCTGCTTGCAGTTCACAAATTATGGGAGAGGGGCTTTGTAGCAAAGTGTTTGGAGTTTTTATGGCTTTGTGATCTAAAAGTTAATGAGAGAAAAGTGCTGCGATTGCATAAATACTTGCTTTGTGCTGAGGCATTTTGTAGCTTGCAAACATACCTATAAAGTGACCTCCAGAACAACCTCAGAAGATTCTCAGAAGAAGAGCTCATGAAGTTACCTTAGCTATGCAGTTCACTATAAAATTTTGTGTGTTAAAGTGTTACCTGAACATGCACTATGGAATTCTAGTTTCAATTTCAGTCATCCCATTTATCACTGGACTGAACTTTTGCCAAACAACTCTGTACATTAATTTCTGATTCAGGGAGTGTAAGATGTATTTGATATTGACTGGGGTACAAAAACCTCAGACATGTAAATTCTCTATTCCCTTTCAGCTGAGAAGGAAGGGAGCTATTCTAGTTCTTAATACCCCCCCGTGTGGTTGAATTCAGGCCTGCAGGAGCTTGGAGTTTTCCACCACTGATGCTAAAAGGACAGGTTTTTAGTCCCTCGTTAATAGCTGCTTTTTTCCTGTTTGCCCATGAGGTTCTGTGCCCATCATAGTGTTAGAGCCAGCAAAGAAAGTGCTTTTGGTCTGTCTTTGGTTGCTGACATATTTTTATCATTTGTAGATGATGATACAGCAGAGTGAAGACCACATTCAGAAGCACTGGGCGTATAATGACAAACTGTCTGACCTCCAGCAGTGGATCTCAGTAACCAGGGAGAAGATTGATTCCTGCCAGGATGCTGATGGAGAGCAGAACACCGAGGGCAGGCTGGAAGACCTGGAGGTGAGAAAAGCATCTTATTTTAAGATGTTAATTATTCACTTTGCAGCATTCAGACATTAAGAGTGGGGGTTTCTAGTGAGGATTTATTGGTTAAGGAGAGTAATGATATGTGTTTCTCCTGCAATAACTGTTGTCTTCTGTTGCCTCTCTGCTTTGCCCTGTGTTGTGGGATGTGGGGCCATGTAACAGACAAGAGCAATGAAAATAAGTAAGCAGTGTTGAGATGGATAAATTATTATCCAAGGATAGGTTGTCTGTTCCGGTCAGGGTGATCTCTCTGAACAATTCCTACCTTTGCCTGTGTGTACTCATCAATATATTGAACATTCCTGCCATTTTAACTGGCCTTCTACTCGTTGAACTGAGCTGTTCCAAAGCTGCCAGCTTTTCCCTGTGTAGCAGTACTTTGCATGCTAAATTCATTCTAGCAGAATACTTCAGCTGTTGCCTTCCTATGTGAGACCAAAATCTTTCATGGGAAGGCTACAGAAGAAGGTGCATTGACATCTTCCACACTCAAAGTTCTCCCATCAGCTCTTTGACCTATGTTGGCTCTTTGGAAGCATCCACAGCATATTTTTTTCCCTCTAGATATGTTCTAGCTAGTGCCAACAAAACCAGCATAGTCCTGGACTGAACATGGCCTTCAGTCTGACATAGTCTCCACTTTACCCAGGATACCTAAGAGTAATTGTCAGGGCTTTGAATTTCAGAGATTGCTGGCCGAGTTTCCAGATAAGGAGATCCAGCTGCACCTTGTGGAAACTCGTGGCCAGCTGGTCATGGAGAATTCTTCTCCAGAGGAGACTGCCCATGTCCAGGGAGAGCTGGATCAGCTGAAGGAGTCATGGAAATCACTGAAGGAAATGGCAACTGGGTAAGTGCTCATGCAGATCTTCCTTATGTCCCTTCAACAGGGTTCTTTTTATTGCAGTAAGAACAGACACACTTGAGGCTTTATGCTCTGTGCTGTGAAAGTGAACAGCCATACCATAATGCTAGAAACAAGATGGGATTTTATTTAATTTTTTGTAAACTGAAAATCATTACTTTTAAGAAAACCTTTTAAAGACTGTGTGAACCACAATGTCTGTGAATCTTCCTTTACCTCATGTTGGAGTAGGCAGTGTCTTATGGCCTGGCTCACTCTTGTACTGCCTGTCTGTGTCAGAGGAAATTTGGCACAGTCTGGGTGACTTGTGCTGCTCTGTCTCATCTTCCAGTTCTCCTTTGAGATGCCTCCAAGGAGGGTGTATCTGCAATGGGATTTGTGCCTTTTGCAAACCTGCAGAAGTATAAGCAGAGCTAAAAATCTTCTCTTTGGCTGGGAAATTAAGATTTAATTTATTTTGCCTCCACTGTGTAGTGCCAAAATGCTGCTCATATTTGCTAGTCTGTATTAATATTTAATAGTGCGCTGCATGTATGATTGTCTTTATACATGCTGTCAGAATAGGCACAAAAATTAAATTACAAAACTGAGGAAGGTTTGATTGTACTGCTTCCTGTAACCAGAAAGAAAGGTATATTGCCAAGGTATTATTTTTAGTCCCCTAAATAAAAGAAAATAAAACACTTGGAAATGTTAGAACTAGAATCCTGGTTCAGCTGTGAGACGCTCTGGTTGGGAATAACTTCAACAGTAATATTGTTATTAGTATTAATAATGATATAACAATAACAACAATAGTGCTGTTTCCCCAGGGCCGTCTCCCATAGTCCCAGTCAAAATGTGGATGTTCCCTGCACTGACATCTCTGGTTTTGTGTTTTCAAGCCTCCTCAAAAAGTGGCAGTTAAGTAGACCAGTGGCTGACAAGAAGAAGAAAAGAGCATTTGTGGACAGCAGATGGATGTCCAGACCTGCTTTCCACCTTTTTGATGTCGATCCCAGCCGTGAGCAGGTGAGATGGGGACTCTGTGTCTGCCTTCATATCAGCTTCACAAGAACAGTTTCATTGCCTTCATCTGATATGTGGGTCACAAAGCTGGAGGTTAAGGTTTCACAGTCAGGCCTTCAGAGGAAATGTCTGACATAACAATAAGGGCTTTTTTGTTCCCGTTGTTCTCTATCCCAGGAGAAGATGGGAGAAGGGAAAACTACAAGCAGCCACTTGAAGCTCCTACATGACTTTGAAGAGTGGTTACGAGGAGAAAACGCTGAACTGACCAAAATTCTTGCTGGGACTCCATCTTCTGCAGAGGAAATTAAGGCACACCAGAGCAAACTTGAGGTTAGTTTTCAGAGGATGAATGGAAAAAAATACTGCAGTAAGTGTGAATTCTTTCAGAATTAAAAAAATCCAAACAACAACAACAAACCCCAAACCACTCCACCTATCAGCCAAAAACCCACCAGCGCTCAAAAAAACCCAAAAAATCCTTAAGAACAAATAGTCAAAAAATTCAAGCACTATGCTCTCTGCTTCATGAGACTCTAGAATAGATGAAGCTCAGGAATTTAGGACAATTTTCATCCTTTCTACGAGGAAAGGTCTGCCAGAACCAGAATAGAAGGGAAAGGAGCAGTTGGCATTTAGCTGTTGGGCTGGACATTTCCAGTGTGGTATGTCAAAGGTGTTCATTAAAAGGAGCTGATTAAAGTCTGTGTCAAATCAGTGTTTGGTCTCGCTCTTCCTGTGGAGTATAGCCAAATGCCATGGCAATTTGTTAGATTTGTTGGATTGTTAGGAACTAAACACAGGAATATCCAAGGCTACAGAAGTCCTGCAGGTGAGTTTCGTATCATTTCAGGCCAAAAAAGTAACAGCAAAAATAAATGTGTGGTAAACCACTGTTTTTTCAAATGCTGATTTAAAAAGTGGGGCCTTCCTGAATCCTGAATGGCTGCTGAGCCGTGTCTTTGCCTTTAGGAGCTGCAGTCTCGTGTGCCTCAAGGTCAGCGTCTCTTTGAGGACCTCCTTCATCTTCATCCTGTTGTGGGGAGTTCTGAAGACCTGGAGGACCTGCGCTACCGATGGATGCTCCACAAATCCAAGCTGAGAGAGGCCCTGGGCTCACTGGTAGGTGACAGCACACAGTCCACAGCTGCTGAGCTCTGCCATTGCTCTTTCAGTTGCTTCAGCAGTATTCATGTGTAATCTGCTTAGTTAAGAGTTGTGTGCTTTTTCTCTTTGCATGCTATGCTCAAAATATTTCTTGAGATGGAAGTTTCAAACCAGAATAGTAAATGGCAAAGAGGCATGCAGCTGGGATCTGAAAGGTGTTTGTGTGTATGAATACTTTGGGTGTGTGCCTGGTTCTGGGCACATGGATTTCTATTTTTTGCCCTTTCTCCACACAACATTCTCCATAGAGTTGTTTTTGTTTTTTTTTGACAGTTCCTGCAGTAAGAATATATTCACTGTTCATTATTTGTGTCTCCTGCTGTGAGACAGAATAGTCACTAACTGAACTGATTCAAAGTAACTGTGCAGGAGGACCTAGTCCCTTTTGAAAGTGTCCTTATAGGTTAATGATTTGGAATGAAATACAGAAGAGGCATTTTAAAGCAAAAACCAAATTATTAAAGTTACCGAGTTGTTATATATAAGACACGCTAAGGGTGGCAGAATTCATCATCATATATAAGATACTCCAGGGCATGCTAAAGGTACTCCCATGTTCTTAGCATAAACGTATATAATTCTTAATTAATATTTTTCTAGCTTAACTACTCACATTATCTGAGCAGCTTCAAGATACTGTAATCAAAGGATTAGAATTTACATGTTTGTATTTGGTACTTTCTGTATACAAGTGCTTTCAAAGGTATCTGAACTTGAACACCTAAAATTTGAATTTAAAATTTTTTGCCTTGAGAAATCTTTTCTTGAAATTCAAAGCTTTTTTAGAACATGAATCCTTTAAAATGCATGGAAGGTAAGCATGACTTTTATTAATTAAGAACATATTTTTGCATTTGCCATTGATTGTAATGACTCATGCTTTAACTGAAACCTTCTGTAAGCATTAACATAGTCAATAGGTGTCAGTAAAGTCAAAGCTATTGCTGGGAGAACTGCTCATCTGATTCAAATAGTCAAGAACCTAAAAACATGTCATCTTTCTGCCTAATGTTGTTAAAAAGCCCATTAAAAAAATCTCCTGCTGGTTCACTCTGTCCAGGTGACCATGAATTTGAAAGAAACATCCCCTGTGGGGGAATACTCATTTACAGGCTCCCCTGGGATCTTAACTTCATGCTTCTTTTTTTTTTTTTTTCTTTCTTTTAAACAGAGTGCTGGATCTTTGGAGGAACCAGACAGATTCAGAAAGGCAAGACAGTTTCTTATTATTAAGCTAAAAAAGTTTTGCAGAAAATGGTTTTAGACTTTTCTCAAGATTCCTGAAATCAATTTGCTTATTAAGAGCCACTCTTAAAGAATGTGTTGATATTCTCCAGATTTTTAAATGGAAAAATATTCCAGAGCTTTTACTCTTGAAATAGGCTTACTATATGTCTAAAGCTAAATATCCGTCTGCTGGGAGAGGAGGGAAACTCAGTTTTTATACATCTACATGCTATATGAATTTAATTAATTTTTCCAAAGAGACTAAGGAAGAGCCAAAATACCTCTCTAAAGGATTTAGTGGTTAAGTGCCTAAAATAATTTTGAAAATGGGACTTCTAATTCTTTAGACACTTGTGAAAAAAATTGTTTGAATCATCAGCCCCCCTTTTTTCTAATGCAGAAAGCCAGAGAAAGTCAAGAGATTTGTCTAATTCTATTAGACTAAATCCTTATTCTAAGCTGCAGAATTCCTCCTGTGATGGATTTTGTTTTTGAAGTGATGACATAAGAAACAGAGGCAGTACAGGAGATGATAAGGAGAAGCTAAAAGAAAACAAAATACTGCCAGTTTCTTATTAAAACAAGCAGCACTTCTGATCCCATTTTCATAAAGTCAGCAAATTTTTCTGTCACAATTTGCTTTGTTTATAGAAGCTGTTCTGCTTTGTACTGTCATCTCACTTTCCATTTGTGTTTAGAAGGAATAGAATAAGGCTTTATTTGCCCAACATAAAGGAGATTGGATGAATAATGTGTTGCAGGATCATAATAACATAGTCATTTTAAGATAAATCAAACCCTTGATTTCTCCTGGTGCAACACCTCTGTAGAAGACACGAATATTTAAAGGGTGCAGCACAGTGCACTTCAAGCATGGCCAGAAATCAAGACTTTCCTCATTCTGATGACATATTCCTCTTATTCTCAAATGTGGAGTAGCAGCTCCAATATTTTTACCCAGCAAAGCACTGACTAGTTTTAAGGCAGTTCTCACACCTTCCTCAATGGTTTTGGCTGCAGTTCAGCCTTGCTAAAGACCCCCAAAGACTTTCTGTTCTTGCTTGTCTGGCTCAGCATTAATTATTTCAGCCAGTAAGGTCACCAGAATTTTTCAGGCTGGAGAAACAATATGACATTTTAATACTTGGTGGAGAGGCAGCCAAACATTTAGTAGTGCTTCTTTTCCCTAGAAGAGGCTCACAGGGATATTCCAGAAGACTGACCAGGGAATTCTCTGATTTCATGTTGTTTGGTTGGGTCAAGTTGTTTGTCGGGAAAACAAAACAAAAGCTTTAGGCATAAGCATGTCTCCAGTACAGTTACATGCCATTTTTAATTCATCTGCCTCACCTGCCTTGGGGTACATGGTATTTATTCACCCTTAGATTCTCCAAATTAGACTAAAAAGCCTTCAGTTAATTTTCAAAGATACTGGCTTAACATAATAGCAGGCAGCAAACATTTGTCAATTAGGCCTACAGTAAGAGCACAAAAAACCCTCACTCTGTGAGTTTTTAATAGCTACTGAACACAAAGAGAAACAGCTCAGGGTGGAAAGGACTGAAGAACTGAAATACCTCATAAGCATGAGGGAAATGGCTCCCATTGCACTAACAAGTGATTTGCAGTTTCCCTTCAGCCAGTACAGATGTTGCTGTAACTTATACCCTGCTCACTTCAGTGAGATTTCGCTGACCTCAGGGCTTTTATTCTCTGTTTAAACAGTAACACTACAACAAGAATCCAAGTGCTGGAAGCAGAAGTGTCTTTTTTTTTTCTTTTTTTTTCTTTTTTTTTTTTAATTCAGGTTTTATCAGGATGTGAGACAGTGTTGCCATAAGATTTTTGAGCACCACTTAACAGAGGCAGAAAACGATGTTGATCCCTTTTGGGTGTATCACTGTTTGGCCTAAGAAAAGAGGAAAATCAGGCCAACTGCAGAATTGTAGACTATGCAGTTTACTTTAAATTCAAATTTAACACCTACGGTGTGGCTAGAAACAAAAGAAAGATTAAGGAAAATATTTTTGTATGCATGAATATCTTTTCAAAGCTATGGTAAAGGAAGCCAAATACCTTGAAGAGAATGGCTGATCTCAGGAGTTAGTATCTGCAGGAAGTGCAGATGGCTGCATCACTGTGCTTACAACAATCAGTGAGTTTGTATAAAATAGGATCAGGTTATCTCTAATTTGTCAGCTCCCTCATGCTCTTGAGTCACACAAAATCAGCAGAATTGGCAGAAGTTGAGGTATTTTTGGACTGATCTCTGATTTTTGCAGCACAAGGTCCCCAGTGACTCTGCTTGTCTCTCCTGCTTGGGCTGTGAATATTTTGCAGCAGCAGCAGATCAACATGGAGAAGGGGAAGACCCAGCTGCAACCATTCTCATTTGACTGCCTTCTGATTTTATTCCATTTCTAGCCTACATGGCCAAATGTTGGGCAGAATAGAGCCTGCTCCATGTATAGTAATGTGCTTTTTTTCCCTGATCATTCATCCATTGCTGAGGACATGCCCCTGCCACTGGTGCCCTTAGGAGCAGAACAGCCTAATGATTGTGATGTGAGTGACTTCTTGTTGATTAACAAAAAGCAGTTGCAGGAAATTGCACTGGCTGCAGTGAATTTTTAGCAGGTGCCAGTGACAGCCAATGTAGATGGATATTTCTGCAGGGTACCTAGCACACTCAAGAACATAATCAAGCAAGTGCTCAATAATAACTATGATAAATGTTACTTTCAAAGGTTGGCTCCCAGCTACCTGAAAATATTCCATGAGCATTCTTAGTATAAAGAGGAAGTTGAAGGCTCATTATTTACAGGCCTAGGTAGCGCTGTTTGATTTATTTTCTTAAGTTCTCAGAGTAATTACTTCCTTGCTAAACAAATGATGTGGCTTTATTGTTTGTACAAACAAAATAATTAGAATTCATTACATCAGTGGTCAGCTAATTGCTTCCTTTGAGATTCTGCTAAGAGTAATCTCCTGTAACATACAGACAGAAGGAACGTGTAATTTAATCTTATTTAGAGACACCATTGATCTGGAGTCAATCAAATTAATGCAGTCATTCAGGAAACTGCAAAGCAAGAGCTGCCACAGCTTGCCAGGAAGAAAACAGTACCCTGGTCTGCTGTGCCCCAGTGCAGATATGATGGGAGTTCCTCGTGGCAGAAAAGCACAGCATTCTGTGTTAGTGCCCATGGTAGTGGTGCCTCTCTACTGAGAGTGTTTTCCTCAGGTCCTGCTAGGTGTTACCCACTTGAAATCTTCTGTACAATTACAGTCTTAGTAAAATGAAAGACTTATTGAAAGGTATCTTTTCCTCACTTTTCAATACCTCTTTTATAGGTAAAGATAATATCTCTCCATTATTTTTTTTTTTCATCACTCTGCCTATAAGCCTGTGCTTACCTGTTTTGGGAATTATACCATGACCAAACACAGGATGAAGGACATCTTAGCATTAAAAATTAGCAGATAGACTTATTTTCTTCCTACAGTGGTGTTTGCTCAGAAAGGAAACTTAGTAAAAAAAACCCAAAAAACCCATCTGCAGAAAAATCCTGACTTCCTAACTCAGACTCAGTGTTAAGTATGCTGAGCCAGGCAGCAGCATCCCCTTTCTTTTCCAGCAGGCTCACAAGCTTCCCTTCACATTACTGCACCCGGGAGATTCCCTGCCTGTGTGCTCTTATTTCTGTAGGTTTCATGTCATTTTCCAGTATACATTACAGTGTCCCCAAATGTTAGCTGTCTGGGGCTCTTGGTTTGCTGTTTATCTGGTCCTGCCACACCTGTGCCTTGCCAATGCTCTCTGCCTGTGCAGTGCTTGGCAATGAGGTGCCATCCTGCTTCCCAGGACACCTGGTTCTTCCCTTCTTATCACGTTCCTGTGGCATTCGTTAGGCAGGTGGTTGGTGCTCTCTGCTTTATGTGAAGAGACGTGTCCTTTAGCTGCAGTATATGCAGATTTTCACCAAGGAGATAGCTTAGAATAATTTTCTCAGCAGATACAATTTTATGTCCTAACTAAAAGGTTAAGAGAGAGAGAGAAAAATTTGTTGAGCAATAGCAGAATGCAACCAATTTTCAGTATACACCTGAAAAAACAGGTTTTTAACACAACTGTAAAAGGCACTGTAAGAAAAACACTCCTAATCATTACCTCTAATTTTTATACCTATTATTTATTTAAAAGACATCACATTTTAAAAATATTTAAATAAAATGTAAATATATTTAAATTATGTATGGTGACTGCCAAAGTTTTAAGAATAGTTTGATCTTGACTTGAGAGAAGTCACTTGAGAGAAGTTTCCAGCAAAGCAGCTGGAAACATACATTGTTGACATGATAAACCAGATTTTGATGTCAGTAACTTCTTCTACAAGTTCCAGAACATTTTGTCTTTCTTTCAGTTTTTATTCTTTCTGTGCTTATTTTAGTTAGTTTATTTCAACTTGCAAGGATGAATGGAAGTTGGAAATTGGGAAGAGTTGTCTTACTTGCCTGCCTTCCTGAATATAGAAGACTAAGGTCTTTTTCTGCTTGCTAAGGTCTGGAGAATTCTAGAAATCAGTGCTACCTTAACAGATCAGGCTGTAGCTCTTGTCCTGTGATATGTTCCTCCTGGAAACATGTCGTGTGTATATGCACACAGAAGCTAACCTTTATAAATCCATTTGTGTCACAGTAGCATATGGCACAGTGCTTAGTTCTAAGTGACTTTGCTGCAGAAATTCTGAAATACCCACCATATGTGGCTGCTGAAACCTCACATACGAACTGCTGGCTTGTTTTCTGTTTCTTTTAAATGAAGCCTCCCTGGAAGATTCTAGATTATACCCCAGCCATGGTGAGGTACTCCAGAATCTGCCCTAAGGAAGAAAACAGTCTTTAATTTGCCTGTATGCTTACCTATTTACAAGCGTATGCTTACACACTTCAGAATTGAAGGGAACATTAAGGTGCAAAGTC